CCAATACATTAATAATAATTATCCTTGCATTTGATATAGCGCCTTATGTCATTGAGAAGTCTCAAAGTGCTTCGCAGAATACACTGTAAAGTGAATTGACTGTATATTTTGTGGGCAAAACACTACAGCTATCTGCCCACAGCAGTGTACTACCACAAAACAGTTGTGGATTGAGTGACATAATTAATCTATTTTTTGTGGGGGGAGCGATTATTACCACTGGAAAGCGATCTGCTAACAACCAGGTTCCTACTTACTGGTAGGTAAACAGAGGCATGTGGGGAAAGAAAACTTGCCTAAGGTTTTGACCCTCCTGGGAATCAAATACAGGTCGCCTAGATGTCTACTTAGTGATCAGATGGGATGACTGCAGATTTGTAATATGTGTGTTCATTTACAGTCTAATGCTCTTTGCATTAAAATAATTCCTTTTGTTATTGTCAATGCATCTCACATGGTTGCTGTTTAAGCTGCCATGACTCCAGGACTTTGACAGCCCAGCTGGGACAGAAGATTTCTTTACATTATCCTGACCCTTCCTTTCAGTTTTAAAGTTTTCAGTTTAGCAGCCACCAGTTTAGGTATCTTCTTTGTTACTTCTCTGAAACTCTCCAACCCCAGCCGGTGTTTTTCTACCTCTGCCAAGTAAATTAATAATAGTAATGATAATCCTTGCATTTGATACAGTGCCTTATCATAGTGTAAAAACCCTCAAAGCATTTCACAGGATTTATTGTAAAGTGTATTGACTGTGTATTTTATAGGTGAATCTGACAGCCAATTGGCACAAAGCAATGCCCCATAAACAGCTGTGAAGCGAATGAGCAATTTTACCTGGGGAATTGCTGGCCAGGATACTGGGAGAAACTCATTTCTCTTTTTAGATTTGTTCAGTGAGGTCTTTAGCACTTGTGAAAATGCAGCACTTCCCAACACTGCACCCTGAATGATGAACTCAAAGTCCACTTTGGAGCTTAATTCTATTAGCTATAATAATAATCCTTGCATTTGATATAGTGCCTTATCACATCTTCGAGATGTTTCAAAGCACTTCACAAAATATACTGTAAAGTGAATTGACTGTATATCTTATGGGCGAAACGCGGTAGCCAATTGCGCACAGCAGTGTACCATAAACAGTTGTGGATTGAGTGACCAATTTATTATTTTTTATTGAATAATGATTATGGGGTCAACTCGGTGTCATTTCACATGGCAACCCATCACCATGCTTAAGGGTATCCAAACTAGTCCATAAGAGTTCCACATATTTATGCTGCCTACACACGGAAATTTCTCTGGAAATCAATGCACGCTCTCCCTGGAGGAACACTCCCTGCTTACCTAATCATGGAAAGGTTTAAGTGCAAGCTGATGAGAGACAAGACTTTGGGACTCCAGAGTTACGTTGTAGTACTTCTGGAGTTAACCAACTAAAACCAAATAGCTTGCCTTTGAGGGCACACCTGGCAAGCTTCCCATGGATTGTCCAGCTAGGACCATCCTACCCGTTATGGCTCTGGCTTGCACGGTTAACTGGAGCTGAATGGGAAGAATCCCTACCCCCCAATGAGTAATCTGACCTGCGGATGAGCCATGTTGGGCTGGTATGTTGTCAGCAGTGCCCTGGATTACTGCGGATCCACTTGGCTCAGGAACCGGGCAACCGAGACCACCACAGAGGATTGATTTGGTTGTGACTTCCATTGTCAAACACGGCATCTTGGAGCCAGTTCAGCTCCAGGGAAGATAGTTTTGAAAGCATGGATAGCGAGAATGCCAATCTGGAACCAGCTTTGCTGGTAAATTTGACTTGTGGATAATAGGTTGACATTCACAAAAAGGATGGCTGCGATGGAAGATTCTCCCCTCTCACCCTGAAACAGCCATAACCAACTAATTTATTACTTCAGAGTAATCTTAGAATCTGTAGTATCAGGCTTCATAGCAATTGAAATTAGGTCAGATGGCTGGTGGTGAATTGGACTCTTTAGTTCCATGAGCTGTAATGCCCCAGAGTGAATCACCTACAGATTGCTGTGCTGTATATTTTCAGATCTCCTCCCTACGGGAGAGGTGCTTGTTCTGTTTTGCAACAAAAATATCAGGACGGAAAAAGGCAGGCAACCATAAACTGGAAAGACGAGTCTATTTTGAGGAAAGTGATGCAAATCCTTCACAAGAATTTAAGGAGCATTATTTTTTATGTTTTGGTTACTACTCCCTTTGCTTTTTTGGCTCAGGTCTGTCGCTCTCGCTCATTTCTCTTTCTCTTTCTCTCTCTCTCTCTCTCCACTCTATCCTTGGTGGCTGAGTTTTCAGCTTCTGTCCACTGAAATTCTCTTCCCAGAATGATTTGGCTTCCCAAAATGATTTGGCCCGGTAAATGATCTCATGGTCGACATGCATGAGGTAGAGGGAATTGAGGGATTAAGGAGAGGGGGTGTGGGGAGGGGGATGGGAGGTGGTGTTGAAGTATAAATGATGGCATGAAGCAGTTGGGCCAAATGGCCTTTTTCTGGTGCTGAAGATTCTTTGAGACATCTGTAAATTTCTACATTTAACCACTTTTCTCTCACGCGTTCATGTTTCGAGAATACTTTGCAATGTAACGAGTCCTATTTGGCATGCAGTAATCCTTAAAATCTTATCTATCTGTGGGTAAAATGATGTTAAATAACTCCTAAGATTGGAACGAATATTAATTACAAACGCATTTGTTTTGCCAAGAAATCTAGTTTCTCTTTGGGCTGCCCCTGTTTCTCCAAATGAAGTCATATTGCAATTGGAAGTGGTCACTTAAGGTTATAAAGTGCAGTCCTATTATCATAAAGAGCTTCATTTGAAGTAGGTGAGTGAACCTCAGAGGTTGCACATGATACTTGGTAATTATCCAAATGCTTTCAATCTTATCAATGTTACACAGTAGATTTAATGATGTCACTGTGTGAGTATCGGTATGATTCCGCAGTACTGTGAGTTCACCTCCTGGTTGTTTGCGGGCTTCGCTGTGAGCAAATGGCTGCCGTGCTTGCCTATAAAATACAGTCACGACACGTGACCAGTCACTTTGGAGCATTTTGACATATTTTAATGTTTCGGGAATTACAAAGATGCAAGTTCTTTCTTGCTGTCCTGTCTAGCTGATTGAAATCTTTGATTTAATGTTTCCAAAATCACGCTTCAGTGCTTTAAATCTAAAAGCTATTGATTGTTGGCACAGAGTTTAACTGCGTTCAATATTTTCACGGTTTAAAACAAACAGCGGATGAAAATTCAACGATTAGATTTTGATGTTCTTTTCAGGATGTAGTAACTGTTTCATAGAACCACGCAAAGTTTACAGCACAGAAGTATTCCAAGTTTTCCTTTGAGTAAGTGATGTTTAGTGTAATAAATTACAAAGTAGACTGTTCAGATACATTTGCCTTGGGTGGCAATAAATAAAGTTGCCAATTCTTTTTACTTTGATATTGATGGCTGCGGTGCACTCCTAATTTTCTGCATTTACGAGGGTTACAATCATTCTATAGAAACCGAAATGTTGGCTTCCTTATTCCTCCCCCTGACTTAAGGGATAAATGATGATAGTTGTTCCAATTAAATGTCAAATCAAATTATTTCCACGAATAGGCGCTCATGACAAAATCAGCTTTCATAACCTTTCAACACTTGCCAAAAGATTCCATTCCCAAAGCCATGTAGCAGAATTCTTCCTCTAATAAACCATTTTCGCCGACAAAATGTACAGTCAATTCACTTTACAGTATATTCTGTGAAGTGCTTTGAGACCCCCCTCCCCAAGACGTGATAAGGCGCTATATCAAATGCAAGGATTATTATTATTATTTGAGTTTTGTAATGGACCTCTGTCCTTTTTTACACAAAAAGGAAAATACAGAAGAAGTGTTAGAATTTCAGGACAGTGTTGTGGGGGGGTGTGCTGCATTCTTAGAGGTGCTGTGCTTTGGATGAGAATTCAAGATCCCATAATACAAAAAGTTGGTGGAGTTTCTCTCCCGGTGCTCTGGTCGACAATCCTCCAGATAAAATAGGTCATTTGCTTCATGACTGTTTGTGGGACGTTGCTGTGCACAAATTGGTTGCTGCATTTGGCGCACTACAAAATACAGTTGTTGCTTTCTGCAGTAAATTTGTGAAGTGCTTTGAGATGTTTGGAAGATATGAGAAGGTACAGTATTAACTGGACAGATTATTAAGTCATTATTATTATCATAATATGTCTGCAGGAGTGGGATTTTGTTTTGTATTTGGAGACTTTCCAAAATCATCGCAGCTTCATGTTACATTTCCGGCGATGCTCAGACATAGCACATTTCTGTTGCTAACCTGCAATGATTGTTCCCATTGATGTGGAGCTCCGTGTTTGTTTAGCTTGCGTTTGTAATTTCAGTAATCACTGTTGACTTATTGATGGACTGCTGTAACCTTCATCAAATCAGTTTAACTCAACCACAAGGTACATTTAAGCTGCACCGAGTTAAATTTATTTGATGAGTCGTGTAAACGTGTGGTTAGTGTAAGCGTCGCAATCACCTCGCAAGCAAAATAATTTGATTCCTGGGCAGGGCGAAACCTTTCCACATGCCTCTGGTTACCTACCGGTAAGTAGGACTTTGGTTGCTAGTTGATTAGTGAATTGCTTTCCAGGGGTAATAATTCTTCTAAATAGTAATTTGGTCACTTTTTTTCCTTTACTGTTTGCACTGCTGTGAGCAATTGGCTGCCACGTTTCACCCAAAAAATATACAGTCAATTCACTTTACAGTATATTCTGTGAAGCACTTTGAGATGCCTCAGTGACATGACTATAACAAATGCAAGGCAAGTCATATCAGTGACATGACTATAACAAATGCAAGGATTATTATTATGATGATGGCTGCAGCAGTCTACCAGCATGTTGAATGTGGTTACTGAAATAGTAAGTGAAGTGCTCTCTGCACACTGAGGTTTTGTTTTTTTGTGATTAATCACAGATTTGTAACTCCTTTGCCACCGCATGTTAACTCGCCTGGGAACGGACCGGAAGAAAATGACGAGACGGATAGCGGCGACTCTCTATTAAATTCGGAGAGCGAATCTTTTGTCCCCAGCCCGATGCCGAGGTTTTGCGGAGAAGGCAGGAACTCGGACTCTCCTAGGCAGTCCTATTATCTGCCAGTGGGTTCCAAGCAAGGACTGACTGAGAGTGTCGTCAGCAACCACTACCCCGCTTCACTTTCATGCTCAGATATACGTTATACCTCGCCTGCGGGACATGGTGGAATGTGCCATGACCCTCGTGGGCTGGGCCAGTGTGGAGATTGCTTTAGCTCTGAATCTGCTGGCAGCAGGTTCTCAAACAGGAACATGATCAGGTTTTCACAGAGCTTCAGACCAAACTCTTTAGACTCATCGCCCAGCACACTTGGATTATGTAACCTGGAGCCTGGCTTTCCTTTGCAGTCTTATCAACCTCAGCCACCTGGTCCTCTCCTGCCCGACTACACCAATCGACCCAGAGTTTCTGTCTATGTTCCAGCGCCCGGGCAACTTCCTTGCACGCCTCCCTGTCGAGCCTATTACGTTCCTCATCGGACACCAGGTAATGAATTTTTCACAAAAAAANTCTCTTCCTCTTAATATGAATGTGACGAGGTCGATGGGAACAAATTCAGTTTTATAATGCGCACCTTATGTGCCAATGGGAAGGGATGTTATACAATACAGTTTACATTTATATAGTGTCTTTCACATCAGGAGAATGTCTTAAAGAGCTTCCGTCACACTTACAGAAACCAGTGTGTGTGTCTATGAAAGCCACTGATCCTATGAGGGTATCCATTGAGATTGATATGGGCTGTAGAAATGTGGGTGCCTTAGGGGCAAATAAAAATACTTCAAGTTTGCAATTATTTTAGGATGACTGAAAAATACCATATTGATAATAATAATAATCCTTGCATTTGATATAGCACCTTATCATGTCTTCGAGACGTCTCAAAGCACTTTTACAGATTATTCTGTAAAGTGAACGGACTGTGTATTTTGTGGGTGAAATGTAGCAGCCAATTACATTTTTTTTATTTTTTTAAATTTATTTTGTTACCTTAAGCTTAAAGATTGATGGAGTGGAGGGGAGGGAGAGGAGGTAAACTCCCTTTCTTCTCTCCCTAATTTAGTGACAGAAATCCAAGATTTCACCAGAGTGTGAGACGAGAGATCTTTGTTTACCAGCAGCGTGTAATACAAATTGGAGTGAGTGACAGTAAACTGACACTTTTATTGGATTACCTTGAGAGAAAGTTGCTGCAGATTGTTCTTAATTGCCAGATTTTTTTTCCCTTCTTAAACTTCCCAGAAGCGATTTAGTTAAAATAGGTCACTTTGTGCGGAAAACAAATGTAACGAATAAAATGGACTGTTCATTACAAGTAAAATTAACATCTAAATATGTAATTTTTATTTTGTATCCTGACTATTCTGGAAGGATGAGGTCAAATGGATCGAAGGGCATTCTTCATCCAACTCCGCCACTTTAGTCAGTACAAATATTCACAAGATTATTTCATACGCTGTGTGTTCGTGGCTGAAATAATTGTTAATCCAGTCAAACACTTCACCAGTGCTGTTGTTATGTTTTTCCTCCAACCCAAGAAAGTGCTTGTAATTTATTATGGCGGCATTTGCAATATCTATTCTCAACTGCGCCAATAATTGGTTGTAATGTGCCGCTTGAGTTTTACTGCTGGTCTTATACTGAGCACATATAAAATTACATTTCCACAGCACCTTTCACATCGGGAGGATGTCACAAGGTGTGATACAATTTGGCACAGAAACAGGCCATTCACCCCAACTAGTCGGTGCCAGTGTTTATACATGCATTAGCCCCTCTCCTCCTATTCTCCTTGTCTACAGTCCTCTATTCCCTTCTCCCTCATGACATTTTCCCCTAAAAACTTTATACTTTGTAATAACCACCCGCTGTGCAAGACAATAGTACAATACTCCCTAGTACATGTCCTTTGTAGATTATGTTACGACTCATCTCAACCAGTTAATTGTAGGTGCAGAACCAATGTAGGAAACCATTCTCGATTTAGCACTAAAATATACTTTACAGTAAATCCTGTGAAGAGCTTTGAGACATCCTCCTGATATGAATAGTGCTGTAGTATTAAATTGACTAACTAGAGGCCCCAACATGTATGCGTGTTGGAGGGCAGATTTCACTAAGAGATGAGAAGCTTTACACTGCAGCTCTCAGTGCTGTACCTGAACCCTGGACTGCTTTTTGCTTCAAATGGAAATGGAAGGTGTTCCACTGGACTCCAGGACTAACATCCACCAGGAAACCCGTAGCGTACTGGTTAGAGCACTCGCCTCGCAAGTGAGAGGTTCAATTCCTGGGCGGGAAGAAACCTTAGACAAGTTTCCTTACAACAACAACAACAACAACAATAAGATTCCATTTATAAAGCGCCTTTCACGTCAGGAGGACGTCCCACATGCCTCTGTTTACCTGGCAGTAAGTAGGAACCCGGTTGTTCGTCGATTGGCGGATCGATTCCGGGGGTAATAAACGTTCCAAAAAAAATGTGGTCACTCAATCCACAACTGTTTGTGGGACACTGCTGTGCGCAATTGGCTGATGCGATTCACCCACAAAATTCACAGTCAATCCACATTCCAATATATCTGGGAAGCACTTTGAGACGTCTCAATGACGTGATAAGGTGCTAAATCAAATGCAAGGATTATTACTTTGGTTAGCGCAAAAATTCAAACGCTCATGGCTCAAGTAGAAGCTAATCCAGCTGATCAGTTGGAACAATCTAGTGGATTAGTTCTGTTCTTTTTGCTGCAATCCAAGAAAGTGCTTGTATTTTTTTTGGCAGCACTTACCTGGAAATTCACACTCATCAACTTTACAGAAAATCCTGTGAAGTACTTCGAGGCATCCACCCAACTTGAAAGGTGTAATGTCAAACGCAAGGATTATTATTAATGATGATTATTTTAATGCCAATGCCAGTAACTTGGACTACAGTCATGCATGTATTACGAAATATCATTGGCATTATCAAATGCAAGGATTATTGTTAATATTTATAGTGCTTCTAATGATTGGATTGTAAAGTATGTTTGTTTTTCCCTTCACAAAAGGAACTAAGTAAGGATTATTATATTATTACGATGATTCCTCTTGAATGTCCAGATTACTAGCCTGTCCATCTTACAAATTATAAACTGAGCAAATCCATCCATATACAGAGGACATTTACCAGATTGATACCGGAGATGAGTGGTTTAATAATAATAATGATCCTTCTGTTTGATATAGCGCCTTATCACGTCATTCATACGCCTCAAAGCACTTCACAGAATATATAGTAAAGTGAATTGACTCTGTATTTTGTGGGTGAAACGCGGCAGGCAATTGTGCACAGCAGTGTCCCACAAACAGTCATGGATTAAGTGACTAAATTAATTATTTTTATTTATTTATTTATTTTTTGAAGGGATTATTACCACTGGAAAGCGATCCGCGAATCGACTAAAAACCGGGTTCCTACTTACTGTTAGGTAAACAGATGTGTGTGGAGTAAGGAAGCTTGCCTTACGTTTCATGCTGCCCAGGGTACTCTCATTTGCGAGGCGAGTGCTCTAACCACTACACTATGGTACTCCATGGGTTTGGTCTATGAGCAGAGACTGGAAGAACTGGGACTTTTTTTGTTGGAACAAAGAAGGTTGGGGAGTGATTTGATAGACTTTTCAAATTATAAGGAGTTTTGATAGTGTCAATCTGGAAAATCAACAATAAAAACGTATCAAGAAATTAGGGGGAGAGGAGAAATTAAAACTTTTAACATGACTCTTGTTTTTTATAATTGTGCTGATAATTCTGTTGATGTTATTGCATAACGTTGGGTGTTTCTGCTTGATTTCAGGAGATATTCATCCAAATGGCCCCGAAAATGTTTCCTTACCAAGGTACGACATTGACACTACAAGATTTTCTTTACTCCAAAGCCCAGAATAAGCAGCAGGAAGCTTTGTCAGACAGTGCTCACAATGGCAAGCTATTCGGTTTTAACTGGTCCAGCAATAGTCCAGCGCACACTCTGGGGTCCCCAAAGCTTGGCTGTCACCAACCTGTGTCTCATAATGTCTGAAATCAGATACTCAAGGTGTGTCCTTTCCAGATGAAGGGAAATTTCCTTGAATGGATAGCATGCGCATGTGGATCTGTTATGTCTGGGTACTTTTTAACTACAAAGATAGGTTTCTGTATATGTCAGACATCTGGCTGACCCCCAAAAATCTTTGCTTGCAATTTGTTTTTTCCACCAGTCAATGTCCTAATGTTGTACACAGTCAAAATCACTATTCGGATTAAAAGTTCGTCATGTTTTTTGTGGGGGGTAAATTATTTGTCACGAGAAACTGCAAGAACATCAGCATCAGAGGAACACGTGGGAGCAAAACGATCATAAATCTTGTTGAGTGGGAAGATTACACAACAAGCTTAAAGAGGGCCGAGTAGAATTTGATGCCACAGCATTATTTAATTAATCCTGCTCACACCGCATTCCACTACCCTCCCTCTTTGCTCAGCTTGCACCGGCCTCCTACACATCCTTCATCCCCTCCGCTCCACCATTGGCAGCCGTGCTTTCAGCCACCACCCCCTCACATTCTGAAACACTCTGCCTCAATCTCTCCGTCTTGCCCCCTCTTTGGCCATCTTCACATCACACGTGAAGACTTTTGCTGACGCTGTATTAGGAGACATTTCTTCCCCCCACTTCTACTAAGCCATATCTGGTCAAATAATAATAATAATAAATAATAATCCTTGCATTTTATAAGTGCCTTATCACGTCTTTGCGATGTCTCAAAGCGCTTCACGGAATATACTGTAAAGTGAATTGACTATATTTTGTGGGCAAAATTTGGCAGCCAATTGCACATAACAGTGTCCCACAAACAGTCATAGATTGAGTGACCAATTTATTATTATTATTTTTTTGAAGGAATTATTAGAAATATATGTAAGTTCAGGTAACATTCTTGACCTACGTGATACACCCAAGGGAGGGAAGGAGGTACGTGGGGTCTAACCTGGCTTGCTGGCAGAACTTGTTGGATGGGGGGAGAGAGTATGCAGATAGGCCTGTTAGCCCATCAAGCCAAAGCCCTAAAATATTCCATATCCACAATAAAAAAATCTGTATTCATAGGATTGTAATTTCATAATTTTTATGTTTAATTTTAGGCCAGTGGGTTCCACAGATCGAGTAAATCAAAGTGAAGCATTTAGCCTGCCACTTCCTCGTGAACAGAGTAAGTACAACAAAATATGTCATGTCTTTACCTGAACATGCCCATAGCCCTTTTACTCAGTCTGTGCTAATATGTTTCTACATAAAATTAGATCAAATAATTTAAAAAATACAAAGAACCATGATAACCAATGGAGGACATTCAAGAGGAATCATAGTAATAATATAATAATAATCCTTCATAATGCCTTTCATGTCGAGAGGAAGTCCCAAAGCGTTTCACAGGATATATCGTAAAGTCTAGTGACTGTGTTTTGTGGGTGGAAGTGACAGCCAATTTTGCACACAGCAATTTCCCCCCTTTCGTCAGAAAGGCCATCGACCTGAGATGTTAACTCACTTTCCTCTCTCCATAAGTGCTGCCTGACCTGCTGAGTGTTCCCAGCGACTTCTGTTTTTATTTCAAATTTCCAGCATCTGCAGTATTTTGCCTTTTAATTAATTTTACCTTATTTCAACCTTCCTTTGGATCTTGATTATTTTTGAAGTCACACCCTTTTTAAAGGTGTAAACTGTTTTTTTGTTGATGTAGCATTCTGATTTTTTTTAACAGGAAAAGTCTTTGTGACGTACGCTACAGATGATGACCGACATGTCGAAGAGGTCATCAAGTTTGTTTCTTTGTTGATCACAAATGGATTTGAAACCCAGGTTAGTTTTGTCGCTGTTCACTCCCCCATTTAAACAAATTAATTGCAGTCGTGAGTACAAGGATGGGCCCAATGGCTGCAGCTAACAAGAAAGATTGGGCAGATTGCAGCTTTGTTCTCTCTCTTTCGAGTTTAGACGATTGAGAGAGACATGGTAGAAATATTCAAGATTTTTAAAGGATTCAACAAGGTTGATTGTGCTGGGCTGTTTCTACTTGTTTGGTGAGTCCAATAATACATGGTATCAATACAAGACAGCTGGTAGTAGATATGATAGAGAGGTTTGGAGGAACTTCTTAATGCAGGGAGTGGTGAGAATGTGGACTCACTGCTGGAAGCTGTGGTTGAAGCAAATATCATCAATGTATTTCAGAGAAAACATGAATATATACATGAGGAAGAAGGGATTAGAGGGTTATAGTTGGAGAGGGGAAGAGGAGGATTGGGGGCTTGTGTGGAGGGAGCATAAATGCTGACATGGACTAGTTACACCCCATGGAATTACATACCCACACATAATTCGTTTTACTACCGGTACCAGAACTGCCTCATGCCACCCACTCCAGGTATCTTCCCATTGATCTCCAAGCTTCTGGCAACACAAAGAGTGACAGGAGAGAATGGCATGTATGATTCATAAAAAAAAATCATGTTGGTGTGTGCAATTGGCTGCCGCTTTTTGCCCACAAAATAGACAGTCAACTCACTTTACAGTATATTCTGCGAAGCACTGTGAGACGTCTCGAAGATGTGATATGGCTCTATATCAAATGCAAGGAATATTATTATAAATAAATATCAAAATGTACTATATAATACAAAATCCATAAAAACTGGCCTCCATATCTTTCTATAGAGGTCACAACAGTGTATTCCTATATTTAAATTGTAAATAAATGTGTAATTTTTGAATACATTTTATTTTTTGGCATGCCTACTTTTTATTTTTCTGTGCACAATTCCCTGGGGTGTAACTTGTTGGGCTGAATGGCCCGTTTCCGAGCTGTATCACCCTATGTAACTATGCATCGCACATTGGGACACAACAATTCCTCTATTGCTAGATATTATTCGTGGGGGAAAGGTTCGATGTTGGAATGGGTGGCTACTTGGAGGAGCAAATGTCAATACAATAAAATGGCCTGAAATCCAGCTTTGTTGAACAGGACAAAGATTTTGTTCTCATCCTGTTAAAAGTGAAACCACATCTTGGATAGAAGTTGTATCCGAGATTACAAATGTACTTCTCTTCTCGTGCAGAAGGCTTGAACTCTGGTCATACTTAAACTGCTAACACAAATGGTTAATCTGAATGGTAAACTCCCTCTCATTCATCCAAAGGGTAGTTAGTAACTAGAAATTCTTCTTCTCCTGAAGGAGCATAACTTAAAGCTATCTGTTCCTCTTTAGATTGATGTGTTCGAGCAACATTTCAGAAGCATAAACAAAATTGACTGGATGGAAAGATACATCAATGATGTAAGTTAACCTTTTATTCTGTTACACCAGCGTTAGAGTGGAGCTGTGTATCAATGTGTTCCCCTCCTGCCTTTTCTTGGCATCGCACGATCTTTGTAAAGTGTTCGGAGACATTATCCTATGTGAAAGACACTGTCTAAATTGCAAGTTGCTGTTGTCTTGACAATCCACAAAGTGTTGATGCTTTGTGCATATCATCTTTAGAGTGGAACTGTATTTCTCTATGAAAAGGTATATCAGATTTTAAGTGGGATTGAAAACATAAATCTAGAACAATATGTTAGGATGAGGCGAATCGTCAAACAAGAATACACAAGTTTAGAATTGCAAAGGACAATATCAGGACAGATACCAGGAAGTATTTCTTTACTCAAAGAGTAATTAACGCTTGGAATGGGTTACCAGGTTAAGGCCAGGATACTGGACTCATTTAAAATCAGCTTGATGCAGTGTTGATAGGACGGTAAAGTGGTTGGTGTGGAAGAATGAGATTATATGGGCTGAAGGATCCTCTTCTTGTGAACTGATCTTGTGATGTATAAAACTACTTTCATTAATAGTTGTTGTGTCTCTCTCCATTTTCTTCTTCAGAAGGGATATTTGATCATCATTGTAATCAGCCCTAAATACCATGAAACTGTTACATCCCAAAGCTTTCAAGTGAAAAGCGACGAGCATTCTTTGAACGCAGTCTTCATCTATAAACAGGCAAGTAACAATTTATCTACTTGCAAGTTTTACTTTCTCGTAGATTAATCCGTTGATGATAGATCTGTTACTGTGATATTAACCCTGACTTTCAATGCTCGTTTAATTATCTCTTGATTTTGAAACCATGTCAAAATGCAGTATGGCGGTAGAGAGGGGGGAGGTTACAGTACAAATGTAATTACACCATGGTTGTCAGCCTGGCTCAGTTGGTAGCACTCTCACTTCTGAGTTAGAGGATTGTGGGTTCAATCCCCACATTGGGACTTGGAACTCATGTAGTTTAAATTGACCTTCCAATGTAGTGTGGTGGGTGTGCTACACTATTGGAGGTGCCATCCTTTGGATGAGACATTAAACAAGGCCCTGTCAGTCAAGTGAATGTTAAAGATCCCATGGCACTATTTGAGAAGCGAAGGGAGTTACTTCCTCCCGGTTTCCTGGCTAAGAACTACCCAAATAAAATTGGTCACTCACTCCAAGGACATTTCTGTTCACAAATCGGCACCAACCTTCACCCATAAAACGCACATTCACTCCACTTTACAGTATATGTTCTGTGAAGCGCTTTGAGATGGCCCCCTGACATGAAAAGCGCTATACAATACAATACAAAATTACATTTGTATAGCGCCTTTCACGTCGGGGGGATGTGCCATGGCGCTATACCAAAATGCAAGGAATATTATATTATTTCCTCCATTCTTCCTCTCTGGAACTTTATATTAGTGTATTTTATAAATTCTGAAACACTGCAGATTGGTTAGCAACTAAATGATACGCCAAGTGCATATGATGCAGAGCATGCCACCATTCTGAACTGTTTAGTTAGCTTACCTATATCTTTGATATAAATGTGATGTACCTCCTGAAGGAAAGCTTGCAGCGGAAGTGAGTTTTCCATTCCTCAGCTGGTGTGGAGGAAATGTGAGCTGGGATATTGATCAGTGCACGAGCACTGAACTACATGAATGCAGTAATGGCTCAAGGCTCTGTGATTCTCTGTCAGATGACATTGTGATAAGATGAGGGGTCGAATCTAAAATTGCATCTGATATTTAACACATAAGAACATTTGATAGCTTGCTTTGAACAGTCAGATGGCAGGATTCCTCATTCATTCACATTCAATGGGTGGATTTAAGCCGCCTTTTTAAAAAAAATTTTTAAAGATAAATATTTGCTATAAGCATTGTGTTAAATGGGCTGTCTCTCTCATTCAAAGCACATTCCTTGGCCAATGTGTCAGAACTTAGCTTTGATGCTGTGATTGCAGAATGCCACTCGGAAAGTACCTGGCCTGCAATCAATATTGTTTCTATGGTATATTCCTCATCATTGTTTAGTGCCATATGGGTGTCCAATTTGCCCATTTCGGAAATGTTTTACCAAACATAGCGTGACCAGTTTTGATGAGCCTTCACTCTTTAACATTGCAGCTGCAAAACGAATTCATTCAGAATGGAAGCAAGAATTTCCGATTTGTTCCGGTTCTATTCCCAGGAGCTTCTATGGTAAGTCGAGTGCTTGGGAAATGCATCTGTATTTTGAAATGGTTCAAATATCTGCCTACTTGTGGTCCGACAGACATTTTAAATGCACGCAGGTCTGTTAGGGGTTTTAACGAACATAGTGATAGCATTATGAACTCAATGCCTCCTGTCCCAATGTGGAATGTAGCTGTGGAGAACCAATCCATATTGCAGTTATCTTTGAGCTCGTTGGCTAATATAAGTTAGCTTATGGAATGTTTAGTTTTCTAGTGAAAATTGGGAGCTAAAATAACTCTGTCCATCTGACACAAGATTTTGTGCATTGGCAGTTGCTTCGACATGAGTTCCTTGCATGTGCAATCCCTTAACTGTCCAGCACCTTGGGGCGTCCTTCTTATATAAAAGGCACTATATGAATGTAATTTGTTGTTGTTATGTCGAACTGGATGCAAGCCCAGATTTCAAGAGTCGAAAGGCGTAAGGTTTCTGTCCCCACTGTTTATCGATTTACATGAATTTATAATGTGCCCTTGTTGCACTTTTGTTGCGTGCATTTGCTGTTTGGTAGAAGATTTAATGTTCTGTCAGAATAATTTATAGTTGAATGTAATTTTATTACTTGTGTTCAATATACTTTGTGTCTTACCACATTAAACCATCTCAGAGCTTCAATTAATGCTTGAAGTTCTGCAACTGTTGTCAAAGAAGCAAACAAAGCAGCTGGTCTGCACCAACCCTCTTACATGGGTAAGGTGCAAAATAATCAAAGATGTACGTTAACCTCAAACTTCTGTAGAGTGAAATGGCTGGTTTGTGGCACCAGAAACAAGAGCACAAATGTCTTTTGGAGATTACATCTTTTGGTAAATCAACTTTTCAGACACAGATTAATCTAATTCAGAGAGATTTGTTACATCCTTAGCATGCTTTAAAAATATTGATCTATGGATGATTTTTACCCTGTGACTTGCTGGATTAATAGCTATCTTGAAATGCTGGGCTACTTTGGGGAGGGCTTCCTATTGGGATATGAAACTTGGCCACATGCTTGACCTGTTTCAAACCTACTTAGACATTAGAATACATTAAAATATACATAACAGGCCATCTGGCTCAACTGGTCTATGCCCGTGTTTATGTACCACATGAGCCTCATCCGACCATTCCTCAACTAAGCCTTCAAGCGTAACCTTCTATTTCCTTCTTCCTTATCTACCTATCTAGCTTCGCACTACTCTCTGTGTGAATAAATTTCTTCTGACTTCCCTATTTGATCTATTTATGACTAAAGACAGATGTTAACTTCTTCCAAACCAAAAATAATCTGAATTACCTTCAAACCATTGCTGTTCAACATAGAAATCTTAAACAGTAAAACCAATCGGGCAAATGTAACCAAACTACCTGTACTTTTGCTGTGCCCAGGACCCATTTGAGATGCACAGAATGCAGATTTGGAAGCAAAGTCTGGAAATATGCATATAGACATGAGAAGCCTTGCGCATGATTGAAAATGGTACAAAATTATAGAATTGTAGAATCTTACAGCACAGATGGAGGCCATTCAGCATATCGTGCTTATGCTGGCTCTTTGAAAGAGCCATCCAACTAGTCCCACTCCCCCGCTCTTTCACCTTAGCCTTACAACATTTTCCTTTTCAAGTATATAATCCAATTTCCTTTTGAAAGTTATTATGTTAATATTAGGTGCTTCCATCACCGTTTTAGGCAGTGCATTCCATAGTGTAACAACTCGCTGCTATTAAAAATGATTAAAAGTGATTCAAGAGCTCATCCTAACATATAAAGTGTAAACATCTAAAGTTTATATAAAATGTGTACGTTTAAACTTCATCTTGAAGTAGATGATACATTGCGTCCTGTGAAACTATTTTATCGTACTCAATCTTTTTGTATTGTAAATTAATTTTTTTTTCCCTCTCCTGCTGTTATGGCCCGTTTTCAGTTTTATTACTATATTTGAGTTTTTAAGGTGTTAAATATTTTTGACTTGCTTTTTTGTGTTTTATTTTTGTTTTATATTTGCCTTATACACTGGCTATTTGTTGGTTATTTTAATTGTTTCGATATTTTCTCACTATCTGATGTACTTTTAATAATAATAATAATAATCCTTGTATTTGATATAGCGCTTTTCACATTGGGAGGACGTCCCAAAGCGCTTCACATAACACATTGTAAAGTGAATTGACTGTATATTTGTGGGCGAACGCAGCAGCCAATTGCGCATAGCAATGTCCCACAAATAGTCGTAGATTGAAAATGATCAATTTATTATTGTTTTGTTTTGGAGGGATTATTATCAGGTGTGTGGAGTAAGGAAACTTGCCCAAGGTTTTGCCCTGACCTACCTGGAATTGAACTCAGGTCTCTCACTTGCAAAGCGAGTGCTCTAACCACTGAGCAACAGGACTCTACAAATAAATATTGATTTTGATTTATTAGTTCCTGCTCACAATTGTTACATTCTTGTTTAGGCTTAACAGAACCAGTTTTATTACCATAACTTGCCACCCACACATTTCAGAGAAGGGAGTTTCTCTCAGTGACCTGGCTAAATTGGGGTTCACCTGTTGGATGTTTTGTGGGATATTGCTCTGCATAAATTGGCTTCCTTGATCACTTACAAATACACAGTGACTACATTTAATGATAAATAAATAATAGTCCTTACATTTAATGTAGCACCTTTCATGTTTTAATAATAATAATAATCATAATAATCCTTGCATTTGTTATAGTGCCTTATCACATCATTGAGATATCTCAAGACACAAGAATATATTGTAAAGTGAATTGAATGTGTATTTTGTGGGCGAAACGCGACAGCCAATTGCACACAGCATTGTCTCATAAACAGTCGTGAATTGAGTGACCATATTTTTTTTTGAGGGTTTGTTGCCCCTGGAAAGTGATCCGCCAATCAACTAACAACCGGGTTCCTACTTACTGCTCGGTAAACAGAGGCCTGTGGAGTAAGGAGACTTATCTAAGGTTTTGCCCCGCCCAGGAATCGAACCCGGGTTCTCTTTTTGTACGAGGCGAGCGCACTAACCACTATGGTACGGGACTCCATGTCGGGAGGAAGTCTCAAAGAACTTCACTGGATTTACTATGTAGTGTAGTGATTGTGGATTTTGTAGGCAAACTTAATTACTGTGAATTACACAGTAATTGCAGTGAAGCATTTTAAGATATTTAAATCTGTTAAAGGGTCTATGCAAGGCTTATTGTTGCTAATTTTATTCTCAAAACATTCTCGTTGTCTCTTTGCTAGATATCTAATGCTTGCTCTTTGCTCACAACCTTTAACTTTAATTTCTCTATTTTGACAGAATGATCTGCTTCTGCCGCATAGCATGAATGTTATGACCAATCTTAATTTGATAGTTGAAAAGTTGCTTCAACACCATCTTCACTGTGATGTTGCTGCACGTAAAATCTTAAATCAGTTGACAAAATAATAATAATAATCCTTGCATTTGATATAGCGCTTTTCACGTCTTCTAGACGTCCCAAAGCGCTTCACAGAATATACTGTAAAGTGAATTGACTGTGTATTTGTGGGCAAACCACACTTAGATAAAATTGCTGATGTCTGCAAAATTGAAACTTGATTAGTTTAGAGCATTAGAGTTTGTTGCTTCGATAAGAGTTCTGAGAACAGAGGAAGCGCTGAGATCACAAGATTGGATTGGATGAAAAAGGCCTTTCGTGTTATCTGATCTCATCCCTTCAGAGGATCCGTCTTATTGTACTCCCATCACAGCACCATTTTTTTATAAAATCAGTCAGGCATCCTCGTCTTAGACATCCTTCTTAACAATCCATTCTAGTTGTTAATTACTCTCTGGGTAAAGAAATACCTCCTGGTGTCTTGTCTCGACGCATCCTAAATAAAGTATGTTCTGTGTTTACATTTTCAATCCCATTTAACAATTTATCCACCTCTATAAGGTCCACTGTGAGATGTCGTCTCTCAAGCCTCAGGAATCCTAGCTTGTCAAATTGTCTTAATTATGGCAACTGAATACACCCAAGTGAGTCAGCTTGAACAAAGTATAGAGAGGCTCCTTGTTATCTGGTAGTCATGTTAATTAACAGGTTGCAAATCATGCAGAGGTTGCAGAATTTTATTAAGTAGCGCCTATTTGATTCTAATTCTTGTGTTTTCTTTCTTTTTAGAAACATGTTCCCTCCTGGCTTCAAAACACACACGTCTACAATTGGCCGCAGCAAAGCCAAGACATATTACGGCGACTAATGCGGTTGGAAAAATACAATCCTCCCCCGGTTGGTGCCCTGCCCACCATCATTCAAAAATCTATTTAAGTCCACCTGCCCAAATTGCTCTCAAACCCTCTTTCCCCCCCACCCCTTATCTTTATTTTGTATTTCTTATAATTTACTTTGGTAACATGGGAGTACTGCAACTGAAAGGGTTTTGGTTTAAGGTAACCACTGGTTTCGAGAGATGCCTGGTGTTTTTGTTTTGTAAAAAAAACTCCTTTTTCTTCAAACATTTCGGAACTCTTGAATACAGTCCGGAAGATAATAACGTTCGGACCATTATTGCCAAGATGAAATGCGACTGTGAGGAAATTGTCAGATTAGCCATTGTTGTTACTTCCATTGGCATATCGCTAGCTATAAAACGTGACGAGCCTAGAGGAGTTCTCTCTTATACTGCATGTATAACTTCAATAGCATTTCTGCACCAAAGTAGTACAATTTTGCTGTTTTAAATGTATCTAGTTCTCATGTAAATTGTAAAAAAAATTATATGCTGAGGTTCAACACATCTTTAAACTCTACTTAGTGCAGCAGAATATATCATTGCTGTTTATGCTGAAAACACCCACACTTTGATACTGTTTGTGAATAGGATTTGTTTTCATGGGAAATCACTTGTTCTGAATATTTGACTTGTACTTTGAAAACTCAGCATTGTACATCAATAAAAGCCATAATTAGGAAAGAATAAACGTCATTGTGTAATATTTTTGAGTCCCTGCCTTAAACAAATGTTTAAACTCCAGCACTATTACTATAACTAGAAGAATTTGAAGTTTTCTAAAGTGAAAATATTTTGGTTTTATGACGGCGACAGGATTTTGAGCAACCAGTCAAATAGCTACTGCAGAGCAGTACTGAAACAGTCCACTGTAATGATGGGGATGCTATCCTTTTCGATGAGATGATCACAAGATTAGTCTGGATGAAGAAGGCCCTTCAGCCCATCCAATCTCATCCTTCCAGAATACCTACCCAAACTGTCTGTTTAGGTGCGTGGGTAAAGATCCTGTGACACTATTGGAAAAGAGAAGGGGATATCGATTTCCCACTGTTTTTGGCCAATAATCGTTCAGGTAAATTTGTCGTTCGCCCCATTGTAGAGCATTGCTGTGCAGATATTGCCACCAATGCCCTACAAACTGACTCCCACGTTCATTTATGGATATAGTTACTCCACTTAATAGCAAGGAATTTGAGCTCTGGCTGACACTCCAGTGCATGTTCAGGTGGACATTAAAGATCCCATAACATAATTTGAGAAGAGAAGGGAGTGTCTCCCGGTGTCCTGGCCAACATTCCCCCAGATAAAATCGGTCATTCAAATCATGGCTCTTTGTGGGACATTGCTGTGCGAAAATTGGCTGCTATGTTGACCTATGATTCAGTGTGAAGCACTTTTAAATATTTTCATGACATGATAAGATGCTATATCAAATATAAGGATTATTATTGTTGTATTACTGTAGGCTTAGTGCTTTGAGATGCACAAACAAAATTTCTATCAGGTCATGGAATGTTAAAGGACAAACAGTGGACCTTTTGGGCCATCAAGCGATCGCCATCACAAGATTGGTTTGAATGAAGAAATCCCTTCGGCCCATCCGATCTCACCCTTCCAGAATTCCCACCCAACTATCCTCCCATCACAGCATCCGACTGCATTTTTTAAATGAGTTCCATGTCCTGGTCTCAGCCACCCTTCCTGGAAATCTGTTCTAGTTGTTGTGCACTCTGGGAGAAATGGACAGGTATCAACACCCTTCCCCTTCTCTCAAATTAAAATTAGACCACCTCCTTGACCACCGGTCTTGACTATGATGATGATGATAATAATAATAATAATTTTTGCATTTGATATGAAGCCTTATCACGCCATTGAGACGTCTCAAAGTGTCTCAAAAATGATTTGGGTATGCAGCAGTCAGCTTTGTGTGTAAGTGAAATTCACTTTTTTTTCTCTAAAAAACAAACTCTTGATTCTTCTCAAAGTCTGTACAGGACTGCTGATGCGGGGCTCTGTACCACCACAATATGTCTGACCCAATATTTTAATCTGATAAGATCTGCTTTCAGGAAATGTCAACTGCTTGTATCATTAGTGGAAAAACAGAATTAGCGCACTTACACAAATGTTACAAATGTTCAGTTTCACTGGTGTCTTTCATTGCTGAGTGGATACAGATCTAATTGAAGAAAGAAACTGTGTCAGCCCGGCTCAGTCAGTAGCTTTCCTGCCACTGCGTCAGAAGGTTGAAGGTACAAGCCTCATGTCGGATGAATTTGAGCTTGCAGTCTCGGCTCTTGCTCCAGTGTAGCGCTGAGAGGGAACCACTCCATTGTTGGAGGTGCCGAGTTTCAGATGAGATATCAAACTGAGGTCCCGTCTGCCTGTTCAGGTTGGCGTTAAAGGAACCATTGGCCCAGGTTCTCCCAATGTCGTGGAGTCCTGTAGCTCAGTGGTTAGAGCACTCGCTTTGCAAGCAAGACACCTGGGTTCAATTCCCGGCAGGGCGAAACGTTGGGCAAGTTTCCTTACTCCACACCCCTGATAATAATCCCTCCAAAACAAAACAATAATAAATTGGTCATTTTCAATCCACGACTGTTTGTGGGACACTGCTGTGTGCAATTGGCTGCCGCGTTTCGCCCACAAATTTACGGTCAGTTCACTTTACAGTGTATTCTGTGAAGCGCTTTGAGGCGTCTAGAAGATGTGAAAAGCGCTACATCAAATGCAAGGATTATTACTATAATATTCCTCCAGATAAAATTGATCATTCAACCTCCTGACTGTGGGGCATTGCTGCAGGAAAATTGTACAGCTGTGTTTGCCTACGAAAACACAGTCACTACAATTAACAATAATTACTGTGACGCACTTTGAGATGTTTTGACATTATAGGTATTGTGGATGAATTTTTTTATTGAGATGTACAGATTTTCGATTCGCTTCCAATATCCCAAATTTATTTATGGCAGCTGTGGGGGCAACAGTGAAGAGTGATTGTCCTGTAGCTTAGTGGTTAGAGCATTCACCTCGCAAACGAGAGGACCTGGGTTCGATTCCTGCGCAGGATGAAAAGTTGGGCAAGTTTTGTTACTCCGCACGCCTCTGTTTACCTAGCACTAAGTAGGAACACCGTTGTTTGGCGATTGGTGGATTGCTTTTCCACAGTTAATAATACCTTCCAAAACAAATATTAATACTGTGGTGACTCAATTCCATGATTGTCTGTTGAACACTGCTGTGCCCAAGTGGCTGCCGCATTTCAACCACAAACTGCACAGTCAATTCACTTTACAGTATATTCTGTGAAGTGCTTTGAGACGTCTCGAAGATGTGACAAGGTGCTATATCAAGGATTATTATTATTGTTCGTCAATCAGACAGTGAACTGGAGTGACCTATATTCTCACCCGCCTCACTGAGAGGTGCCCCTCTTTTCGGTTCTGGCTAAGATTATCTCACTCAGTTTATCTCAGTTTTATGGCTCAGCATAGCACAATGACATCTGCCGCTTCATAATTAGTTTATTAATCTAATGTCACATTCTCCATTAACTCACTGAAACAGGGAGGGCCCTGAAACTCACTCATTACTCATATAACTTCTAACCAAGTTTAAGGAAAGAACAGATATGCAATTGACTTATGAGTAGTCCTATTACGTGTAGGCCAGAGCCCGCCCTTTCCTTAGACGTCTGTTTGACCCTGAGCTGTCCTTTCTCCCTCACATCCGCGCCACAACTGGCACCGCCTTCCATCACCTCCGGAATGTCGCCAGACTACGGCATTACCTCACCCCTCATGCTGCTGAAACTCTGGTCCACGCCTTTATCACCTCAAGGCTGGACTATGGGAACTCTCTCCTCGCCGGCCTTCCCGCCACCTCCCTCCACAAACTGCAGGTCATTCAGAACTCTGCAGCTCGTGTACTGTCCCGCACAAGGCTTCGGGACCACATCACTCCCACCCTCACTCGCCTCCACTGGCTCCCCATCCCCCAGAGGATCGAATTCAAGATCCTCACCCTCACCTACAAGGCCATTCACGGCCTTGCTCCCTCCTACCTCTCCGACCTACTATCCCCCTACCTACCTGCCCGTACCCTCCATTCCTCTGGCTCCGGTCTGCTCCACATCCCCCGCCCTAACATCGGTGGCCGGGCCTTCAGCCTCTCAGCCCCTAGGCTCTGGAACTCTATTCCCCAGTGCCTTCGCTTTGCTTCCTCCCTTTCCTCCTTCGAGGGCGGTCTCAAGACCTTTCTCTTTGACCGTGCCTTCAGCTTCCCTCTCGACTCTCTACCCCCTCCTTGCTCCCTCCCTTCCCTCCCCTCACCCTGACCATTTGCCCCTTGCTCGGGTCCTGACCCAACTGTACAGTGCCTTGGGACGTCCTCCCGACGTGAAAGGCGCTCAATAAATGGAATCTTGTTGTTGTTGTTGTTGTTTACCATGTATCCACCTTACACATGGAATCATAGAATTATACAGCACAGAAGGAGGCCATTCAGCCCATTGTGTTTGTGTTGGCTCTTTGAAAAGAGCTATCCAATTCAATCCCTCTCCCCACACTCTCCCCATAGCCCTGCAAACTTGTCCTTCCCATATCTATCCTATGGATCGATTTCAAGATCCTTTCACTCGTCCACAAATCCCTTCACCCCCTGGCACCTCTCGACCATTCCAATCTGCTTCGTCCGCACTCCACTGCCCACTGCCTCTGCTCGGCTGGTGCTGGCCTCCTGCGTGCGCCTCATCCCATCTGCTCCACTATTAGCGGCCGCACTTTCAGCCACTATGCACCCCCACACCCACCCCGCCTGACTCGGTGTCAGGCTCCACCACTGTTAAGCTCCCCGCGTGAAAGGAGCTAAATGTTGTCTTACTGCTTGTTCCTCGATGCCACAAATGGTCCCACAAGGAACCGCTCTGCAATAGGCCCAGGCACTGGAAACCTTTGAAGGAGAACTGTTTGGAGACACGTCTTACATGCCACTAGCTTAACGTGCAATATAATCCTTGCATTTGATATAGGGCCTTATTATGTCGTTGAGACCCTTCATAGAATACACTGTAAAGTGAATTGACTGTATGTTTTGTGGGTGACCTTGTGGTTGGCAGAAAAATTCTACCTGGCTCTTGGCTTCCATTATTTTCTAAGTGTTTCAAAGAACGCAGAGCTTTGTGATTTTAAAAGAACCACCAGAAAAACTTTTTAAAAAAAAAAATCGAGATCGAATCAAAGAATTGGCCAACTTCTGCCAGCTTTGAAATGCTAAGAAGATACTGCAAGTCTAAC